TAATATTCAGCACACTATTATGCTAATAAGCAATCTTTATTCTCAAATCCTTGCATTATATGTTGGTGATTATGGGTGGTCTATTATTCATCTGTTTTCTTATCTGTCATGGCGACTACACTAAGTCTGTTAATCAAAGTTCAAATGTATGCCTGTCTCCTGTAATTTTAAAGAAATATTTGAAGGAAAGATAGGTTAAATTACATAATAATTATACATACTTTGCCTGTGTGTTTACAGTCAGACATAATATTCAACAACTAATATGCTTGAAAATGCCCAAGTGGGATTTGAATGGCTTCAATAACATATACTGGAAAATTAAATAAAAGTATTATAAAAATATTGCGCCCATTTGGATGGCTTAAATAATAGTTGTGTAATAAAAGAACATTTACATGATATTAACTAAGTAATTTTTTTTTAATTTTATCTCTTTGACCTTTAAAATGAAGAGGTAATGTTTCTAGTTGATATTATATAGAAAACCTGAAAAGCAAAAAAAAACTACACTAATTCTAAAAATGTTTCCAAAGTTCACACATCTGCAAGAAACTAATAAGGTCAACAATGCCTGATTAACTGAATTTGTTGGCAGATGATGATTCAAATCTGAATATAGAAGACATGTAAACAGTATAAAAGCATACCAAATTTATATCAGTGTATGAGTCATCATATGTGTGAATGAGTGCTTACTATAAATTAAGTACAAGTCTTACTCTGAACTACTTAGTATGCTTATACACTAATTTTTGCATTTTCTTAATTCATATTTTTAATTAGCATTATTACAAAATTAAATAATATCTGTAATAATTGTAACTGAAACAACTGTATTTGAAATTTCACCTCTTTCATAATAACCACAATTGCCTAGTACATATTCATTAGCAAAGCATACAATTAAGTGCTTCACAGTATTATTAACAGTAAGGATGCTATCACACGTCGGTTTGTTTTGGAAGAACAACTGTTTGGAACAATTTTTCTGCTTTGTCACAACAGCCAATTATCATAGATCACTTTGGGGTTAACATGGAAACTGGTTTCCCATTACAAACAAGCTGATAGCTGATTGATTGAAAACGAACAATTTGCAATTTTTTTAGAAAGGAAGGAAAAAGTCGCATGTCTTTCTTTCAATAGTAAACCAGGCAGAAAAATTGTCCGAAAACAAGTTGTTCAAATGTTCATGTGTGATAAGGGCTTAACTCAGACATCATTACTTACATCTAACATTTCACTTCCAGAAACAAGGGTCAAAATTTTTCAGCTGCCATTCACTGTGCCAATGCCTGAATCAAATAAAAAAAAAATCATTTTATAAAAATCTTTAAAAGGATGATTCAAGTATTGAAAAATCTTAGATCATAACTTGGTCATACACACAAAATATTTTATTATTTTTATACCAATAAAATAATATGTTGTTCAGTGCTGAATGAATTATTTAACAATAGGAGAGTGTCAATGGTTGTGAAATCACATCATAATAATAAGAGAATTTATAAAAATGAAATAAGGGGTTTTTATTATTATTGTTATTTAAATTTTACTATTTAGTTAAGAATAATTATCCTACTAACTTTAATTCATATATTCAACTCTGAAACACACTTTCTACATCTTATCTTTGGCTACTATAGTCTGTGTAGTCAGCTTGATAGATACAGTCAGCAAATGATGATTGACAGCCATAATTGTTATCTTGTCTTCCTGGTACATGTGCAGTACACGTACGTGTTTTCCTACAACTTGCATGATCGCATACATACTTTTTCACTGCAGAAATATACAATTTTATGAAGAACTAATTTGCAATAATATATAGCACACTTGAAAACAAGCCAAGCATACTTTACATTAAAGTGCAATGTTATGTAATCATTGATGAAAATTACATACATCAAAATATACTTTATTGTTGACTTTACTATTACTTTAGGATTATTAAAAATCATCATCAATTCCTACATGCTGTACAATCATCTGCCTTTTAAAAATAGAACATGTTACATTTAATATTTCAACAGGTTTTTCTATTCAATAGATATTTGATGATAAGGAGTTAAGTAAATTTGAACTAATTATATTTTATTTTTACCAATTCTAACAGTTATACCATAATTCATTACATTACGAGTTCATTACATTGTTTTATATCATATTAACTTCAACCAAAACATTTCAACACATTTGGAGATAAAAGACTCAAGTACCTTGCATCAGTTTTAGCTGTAATAAAATTACGCTGTACATACTAATAACTTTCTTCTTGAAGTTTCTCGAAAATGATGTTTCTTTTCGAAAAAATTAAAACAGTAAGGAAACAAATTATTTCTTAAAACATCTTTCTTAATGCTACATTATATAGAAATGTAGGAAATGTTAATGAACTGTATATATGTGTTAAAATACAATATATCACATATTGCACATATAACATATCAAATTTACTGAAATGGGAAATATATACATACCTGAAAGCAATCTTGCAATAGCATTTGGTTTGAAGCTCGTGCTATCCACTGGAGCATCTACATTTACGCTGATTTCCTTTACCCATTTTTTGCACTCTTCAATCGAATTTAAACTTGATAGTATCGTTCAACTTTCCAGTTGTTGGAGCAGTACAGGAAAAAAAATCTAATTTTACACAGTAATTACTTTACATTGCACATATACTCTACGAAGACTTAAACGCCGGATTTGTTTACAATCAGATGGCGGTGCATCTACCACATACCATATTTATCCTCTTTTCAAATCGTGCCAACATATAATTACGCCAAATTTGTTTCTGGGCATGTGTAATATGCGACATTCGTTTAACACTGTTCAACTCAATGTGCGGTCTGCCATTACGCGAACAGTGCTAACCTTGGCAGTGTGAGTTTTTGTTTTATTACTAGATTTAATACTAGATTTTGCCGTAAGGAACACTACCTGCCCTTCCTCAACCAATCTAAAATAGCGACTGCACCATTCATATTAAAGATGTATCACAGAAAAATGCATTTCAGTATCTTTATTTTGATTCAATTTGCTGGGCAAATATTTGCAAGAAATTTCGAATAACTTTTCAGTTTCACTGTTCCACTTGGACCACAACACTACTTACATTCAGTTGGAACCTTGTCAAATTCTAAACTCAACTGCCAAAAGTTTTGCATTATCAATTTTGTACGTAATACAAGTGGTGGAAGAACCTACTGGATCAAAAATAATAACAGTTATCTTTAATATATTTCTTTTTGTTGGGTTTCTACAACTCTTAATGTTTCGCACAAGTTATCCATGTTCAAGGAAATTACTCTATACTCATACACCAGTTAAGTCCTAATTGGTGTACAAGTTATTTCGTTCTCGGAATACGGAGTTATTTCATTCATTTTATGACTTTGTTCCATTATCATCCCAAAGTTTTTTTTTTTTGAGTTCCTCTGAATTTGTATTAAACTGATGCAGAAAAGCTTAATTGTAAACAACAAGAAAAATTAAGGACTATCCTTCTATGAGAAAATGAGTACTCTTTGATAATCCACACTCCACCCAAAAGTGGCGAACCCATTGCCAACCAAAATTTTGCCAAGCTAATGTGCAAACGTTTAAAGCTATTTTAATATGGTAGCACACTAAGAATTCTTTAAAAGTAATAATTATAATTTTATAATTCTTTTATCAATCGATAAAATTAAAAAAGCAAGAAACATCGGTAATAAAACTTTTTTTAAGAGATTCTTTACTTTTTTTATGCTGTTGTTCTTCCCATGTAACACTGCAATCTGTTTTCACCGGGAAAAAACAGAGAATTTCACAATTTGTACCCACAAACCTATAGGTACTGTAAATGAGATATGGCTGTCCTCAAAGCAATCTCTGGCCTGCAAATTTCAAAGCAGTTTCTGGCCTACACTTTGCTTGCAATTTTCCCCTTTGGATTTCCATAATATTGAATTGTTTACGAAGTATAACTTCATAGAATGTGAATTTTTGCATTCTGGACTGGTAGGCAAAACCATATTTCTGCTAAAAGCATTTTCATTAGCTAAAAAACATCTCAGTCCCATTACAGTCTGTTATAAGAAAAACAAATATATTCAGCACAGAAGGAAGGAGTAATTAAAAAAAAATATGGTTGAATTTTAAAAGTGCAGACCCACATGTAAACTGATGTGGGCTATTTGCATATTTAGGTTATCACATAAATACTTTTTTTACGACATACTGCATTGTCTTATGAATACTTTTCCACAATTGTTAGTTTGGGTTACAGATAATTAGAAAATACTGGAAATGTCTTAATTTTATAGGTATATGTAGCATTTTTCACTTACGTAAAAGGTTTCTGCCATTCATTTGATTAAATTTTCAGTTCAGTGGGCTATTGGAAATATGTGCTAAAAGGATTAATATAAACTGCAATAAAACTGTGTCTGATGAGGAAGAAGAGAAAAGTACCTCATTTCCGGATTAATACCAAAAATCTTAGAATTTAATAAATAAATTTCTATTTTTTTGTATTTCATCATTTGTGTAATTAGAGAATCAAGCATATTGCTTTGTAAATAATACTTTGTTATTAAAAATAACACATAAATGACTTTCAAAGCAGTGATATTCAAATTATGGGTCACAATCCCATTTGGAGTCAAGCAAATTTAGTAGGGTCACAAGGTGGATAAAAATCCTAAAAAATATGAATTGATGGTGTGTAACTGTCAACATTCTGAGTGGGGGCTTGTGATTTTTTTTAACAAGCTTGTTTGCATTTTTATGGGATCACATTACTATAAAGTTTGAATACCACTAATTTAAAGTATTAGATGAATTAAAAAAAAATTCTTTTTCTATACTTTTGTGTCATCTTTTTAAACAGAAAGTGTTTAAGTGTTATGTTGTACTGACTATAGATTTTTGGAAAGATCTGTTGGAAATAAGTTAATCATTTGTGTATATTTAATGTACTCTTCTTCTTCTTATTATTATTATTAAAGGAATGAGCATAAGCAGGTTGATGTGAAAGAAAAAATTAAGTATGCAGAAACAAGTAATGAATTGAACATGGATGAGTTAAAACAAGAACTTAATAAATTAGAAGAGGAGGCAAAAAGGTTACACAAGCAAAGGGAAGAACTTCAAAAGAAAGAGAAAGTATGAGACCTTTTTATAGATAAGTTAAAAATCATGATTAAGCTAAATTTGTAGAGTATTTAATTGGGTACTTCAGTATTAAAATGACCACTGCATATGTTTTGATTAGTATTAAAAAACACCATGGGAACCTTAATTGCAGAGATCGTATTTTTGGAATTGCTGTTATAAAAGAAATATTTTGTCTCATCTTACATGGTACCATCACATAAATTCCCCTAAACATGAATCTAAATGTTGGCAAACTCCTGTTTGTCTCTTGTTTCTCCATTTGGCCAGCTTTCCTACAAATAATTTCATTTTGTGGCCATATTTACACTTTTGCTGTATGTACGAAATTATGTGCTCATGTAAGAAAACCACCACTTTTTCAGTTGATAACAAATTAAATATGGTTAACATTTTAGAGGAAGAATTAAAAATGAATATGAAAAATTGTAGACACCAATTTTTTTATTTTCAAGTCTGTTAATCTATGAAAGTTAAAAATTGCAACATCTAAAAAGTAAACAGTTAATGATAGAATGATATCATACAGTCAAAAGAGATAGGGATGATAAAAAATGAAACTCATTATAAATCTTAACAACAAACAACAGAACAAGAAACAAGAAAATTATTTTAACAAGAAATACTGCTTCTTTTCTAATTGATTATAAGTTAAAATGCTAAACAGTTAAAGGGAAAAAAGAATTACTGAATCAATGATATCATAGGCAATCAAAGCAGTGCAATCAACACTGCAATCAAAGCAGCCTGAAAGTCAAATTTGTTGCAGGCTAAAAATCTGGAGATTATATTTAGCAAGCTTAGCAACTTATCTTCTGATTTGGGTGATTGACCAAGGTGGCTGCTTTAATCTTGAAGTACCTTTAATTGCTGTATGCTTTTCACTGTTATTATTTTTCATTGTTTAAAAGTTTAAGCTGTGTCTATTGTTTCAAATATAAATTTTCTTTTTTTTCCACTTGAAGACTGCTCATCTTAGATATGCAATCTACCATTTACAAATACAAATGGTGGATTTAAAGGTATGATATTTAGACTATTTAAAAAACTTTGTAACAGTCACCTTCATCATATGCTGTTGATATATACAACGGTGTCTTGTTTGCAAGTACTCTCCTTATTTTTCCTTGTGAAACACTTTGAAAAATCTAAGATCCTCTAATATCTGAGACTGTTTAGGCCAGTAGATCAGTTGCAACATTACTTTTGATAGTTAAACAAGGAAATTAAAATAAAAATGGAAAAAAAAGTATCAATGATATCAAAAGTTTTAGAACCACATCAACTATCAAGTCTAATTAGGAAAGTAAGCTAGTTCAAAATATTAGACATAATTTTTGAAATAGAACTCATTAGATAATGAAGAATAAAATAAAAAAAAAAAAGGTTGAAAAAACAAACAATTTTTAAAACAAGAAATAAAAGTTGATTAACAGAATAAAAAAAGTGTAAGAATCGAAAATCATAGAATGAATCACCAAAAAAATAAAATCACAATCAAACGCAATTAGAACACTAAAATAAAATTAAAGCCTAAAAAACTGAGATATATGCTAAAGGGCAATGCTTAGCAACTTATCTACAACTGATTTGGGTGATTGACCAAGGTGGCTTGTAAAATCTTAAATTTCTTTCGTGATGCTTTTACTGTTTAATTTGTTTATGCTTTATTAATTTGAGCATATGTTTCAAAAATAATTTTGAAAATGTGTGCATTAGTTTGGCTTGAAACTTTATTACAAAGCTACCATATAATGGTGGTAAAAGGTATGAATTTAGACTATAAAAAACTTGGTAACAGTTCATATATTAAATAAACTGGTGCAAGCAACCTTGTTTGAATAATTTGAAAACTTTAAAAATCTCAAACTCTAATATTGAGATTTAGGCCAGCATAAAAGAAAAAAAAAATAAGTGATATTTCTTCATGTTGATTGTATTATATTATATTTAATTTGAAAAATGCATTAAAATATTTATGTCAGAAATTTCTCTAATGTTTGGTGTCCTTATTATGGAACCAACCTCATATTCTATTTATATGTTGCATTATTTTTTTTGAAATGCATTCCTATTGCTATATGTAATAGATACCTCTTTTGCGGTCTGATTAATGGCCGACACCCAATTTTGAAAAATAAATGCTTTTAATGGATCAAAATATGTGCATAGCCATAAAATAATGAATCTCAGTGATGAGTAAAATGCGTACATGAGCAGAAGGCGAAAGTTCTCTTTTGCAGTCGTGCAGAGATGATATTCTGATTGCACATGCGCGAAGAGGAGAACTTGAAGCGTCAAAAGAAATGTGAGGGAAAGGTAGCCCCACACTCAAAATATTTGTTTCATTTAAACGGCCAATGTTACGAGTTAAAAAAATGAAATCATATACTTGCTGACCATATGAAATATTCAAAACTGTACTAATATCTTTTTTAAATTTACAGCAGAGAAACTACAGAGGAAGCATTGTTCATGGCAAAATATTGATTTTTGTCTTAAGATTGCAAACAAGACAAAAATCAATATGTTTTTATATTAATACTTTTTAATTTCATTTTGCATGTCATTTCTGATTACAAAGAAGACACTTCTAATAACATTTTATTAAATATATATATATGCATGTAAATTTAAACAAATTTAAATTCTTAACAATCTTATATGTATGTATATGTTCTTTTTTAGAAAAAGTTTTTCATATAATATCTCCACGAAACAGAAATTCAATTAAAGCTATGAATTATTATAAGAAAAAAAATTTTAGTCAGTATTCTAATTAGCATTTTAAATCAGTATAATCTAGTCCTCTATTGCAGTAAAAACTATTTAAAATCTGTAAAGAAAAATTCTGAATTGCAACTATACCAAGTTCAAAAGTAAAAATTTCAAGTAATGAAAAAGTAGATATTGTTATTTGACTTATCAAGGGGAACAAATCCAACTACTATTGGTTAACAAAAACACAATTGAATGAGAGTGTTTCGTCTTTTTTCCAAGTAAGGACTAAATAATTATTTTGTTAGAGATCCTTTTCAATTCAGGTTACTCGTTAAGAACAGAACCAGACGAGATTCTTACTTTGAAAAAATATTTCCCAACACTCTCATATTTAAACTCAAAATCAAAAGTAAAAACAAAAGTTATGCATTTTTACTATTGAAATTTAAAATCAAAGGAAGATCAAAATTTGCATAACCTTTTAAATTAAAGTTTAATAAAAAGTAGTTATTTATATATTTTAATAACAATGTCAGGAAGGAAATTAAAATAAACTTACTTATCTGCAAAATTATTTTATTATATATATATGTATTTAATTGCTCTGGATTTTTCATATGTGTTGTTTTTATATTAATACTTTTTGTGATTATTAATCAATAGAAATATTTATTTACAGTTAATGCCTTGGAATGTGGACACTATAAGTCATGAAGGATTCACAAAAACAGTAAGCACTTTTTGTTTAAGTAGGATTTCTTTTTGTTAAAAAAAAAATGTAATCTAATTTGTGGTGTTTTCAGCATATAAACTGATGATTAAAGCTCAGAAAATATTCCTCAAAAATCCATTTATGTGTTGGATATAAAATTAGTTTCTATAAGTATGCTTAAAATTTTAGATTGTAATACAAACTTTGTGCTAGATAATAACTTTTAAATTTTGATAGCCCATGAAAGATTTATGGAAAGTGGGAGTAAAAGTTGTAAAAATGATGTATTTTGTAAAGTTTTGATAGTATTCATATCTCAGGAGATATTAGGGAATTTTGCAAACTGTAGATCGTGCCTTTCTAAGTTTTGGTTATATTTTCCTCTAATTTTGATGTTATATCTGGATTAATGACACATATATATATAGTATATATATTTGTAATAAAATTCCATAGTCAAGCATACACTTAAAATTCTAACTGTATGTTCTTTTCATTTTTAATGGTGACGTTCTCTTATTTGAAAGTACGTGGAATTAAATCCACAGCCCCTTAGTTAAGTTGTTTTTCATGCCTTTTCTACACGTACAGTTATAGAATGTTCTGGAAATATTTAAAGCGAACTGGATTGGCTGATGAGGCTGACGTCATTTCTCGGAAGCTCCGTCTTTCCAGAGGCTATAAAAGGACTCGCAAAACTATAACAGAGGTAGGAATAGTCAACAATTCAGACAAGCTAATTACCGAAATAATAATCATCAGTTTGTTGATAATCGACCCAATGCATCTAATTACAAACCTCGTAGTTTTCAACAAATTGGAAATCCATTGGGATGTTCCCGCGTAGGTTCGTATCCTACCGACTCCTTGGTAGCAGAGCGTGGTTTATAAGCATTAATCATGTGGTCTACTGCATGGGGCAGTGTCAGTGACACGTGGTTGCAGTGAATCAAGGTAGGAGTTGGCTTTCGCCTGGTACATCAATTGAATTTTCACTAATTGCCGCGTGAAGCGGACAACACACATCAGCATCCGAAGGTTAGTACTGAACAGCCTGCTGAACAGGATCCATTTTATTTACTCCAGAGATCTTAATTTTTATAACTGCTATTTTCTCCTGAAATATAATAAAATGGATCCTGTTTTTTAAACTTATCGTCTGATAATTTAAGCTACGACTACATCTATGATTCTTCATTCAATCTATTTATTCCGGACAAAAGCTGGTACATCACAAGGAGTTGGCAGGATGGGTGTACCCAAAAGGAAAGAAATTCCAATGGAAGAGAAAGAACTTTTTAAGTGCAAGTTGTGTCTGGTTTTTTACAACTGAAGAATTGTGATACAGCTTTGTCTTCGAATTTTGAGTGCGTTTCATAGTTAGAACCGCATGATTTGGATATCGTCTGCTGGAAAGAAGCTGAAGAATTTCAATTTTTTATGCTGTGTTTTTTTTTTAACAGCACACAAACGAGCAGGATTAAATAGTGTACTCAACAGCCAAGTAAGAACATATTTTAAGAAATTATTTTTTCTCAGTGTGTGAACTAAGTTGCTACGACAATAGTTTGGTTTAAATATATTATGTTAAAGTAATTATGAGTTTATTTAAATTTCAAGTGTTATTCTAATTAATAGTATTCTAAGTAAGATTTGATTATCCTGAAATGTGTAGTGATAATCATAAAATTTGAGAATACAAAATTTTTATTTAAGTCTATTATTCTATGAACTGTTGACAATACTCTGAAGAGTTTTTGGTTTAAAAAAATACTTTTAACTATTGTAAAAATATTTTGAGAAAAGTGCACATTTTTGTTCTCAAGAAAATTTTGGAAGTTTCAGTTACAATGTCGACAAATCAGGAACCCATTAATCTTGATGATTCAGTGAACGTGAATCAAGATACAATAGATTTAAATATTATTCCATTTGAAGATTCTAAGGACAGTGACATAATTTCTTGGTTAGGTTATTTTAACAAAGTCTGCCAAAATAAGGACGAAAATTGGAAACTTCAAAATATTTCTCGTTACATTAAGGAAAAAGCCCTCTGGCTCTATATTAAAAATTGCCATGAGCTAAAAACTTACTCAGAATTTGAACAAATATTCGAAATCAGAAAACTTTAAGGTGTCGAGTCCCACCTTAACTACTTTCGGCGACTTCGCTAATTTAAAATATAAAGCCAGAGAAGACATCACAAATTACTTTCAAAAGAAAATTGAAGTGGGTAAGCAGCTTAATTTGGATAAATCAATTATTTTAGAAGGTTTGACAGATGGTTTGCCAACGAACTTAAAGTCTTGGATGATTGTTCAAAGTCCGGCTGATCCGATAACTTGGCTAGAACAAGCCCACTAACTTTGACAAATTCATGAATTTAAAGATGAAAATCCGCAAAAGAATATCGGGGCTTTTTCTTAAATGTCATGATGCAGTAAACTTCATACAAAACGTTATTAGTAATTCTTTTTTATTTTACTCCGGAGATCTTAATTTTTGTAACTGCTATTTTCTCCTGAAGTATAATAAATGGATCCTGTTTTTTAAACTTATCGTCTGATAATTTAAGCTATGACTACATCTATGATTCTTCATTCAATCTATTTATTCCAGACAAAAGCTGGTACATCACATATATATATATTAGGAATGCAATCAATATATAGAAAAAATGTAAAAGAGAATAACTTTTTTTAAGGAAGCAAACTTCGAAAGTAATTTCATTGTTGGATGCATAATTTTTCTGCATGTCTGTTTTTTTCTTTCTTTTTTTCCTTTGAAATAGTTTTTTTTATGCTCTTAACCACTGAAACTAGTCCTGTGAAAATTTGAAAATACAGCACTGATTTCTGTTGTTTGACTTCTAAATTAATATTGTGTTTGGAGTCAATTTTGGATGATATCACCAATGTTGATGTTGGTGACAACTTGGAAAAGTAGTCACCAACCCATTGTTCCTAAGGCTTTCCCTAATTTGAAATCTTATGCTAATTCTGTCATTATGTTCGACACATGGGCAATTTTATTAATAATTCTATAAAAAGTTTAAGAATAGATATTTTGGATTTATTAAAAAAAATTTGCCTATTATTAAGCCTTGTGTTCTATACCACATATTTCATTTTTAAAGGTGGAAAAATCAGTGTGAATGTTATTTTCAAGAATCAATCCCTTTTTTTTTTTTTTTTTTTTTTTTTTTTTGTTCGTAGAGTCCTTGTTGCATGAAATGCTAACAAACCAGCTGCCAGATGTATTTAAATTTTAATGCAGTGTCTGAAAAATTATACACAAATAAATAACTTATTGACACATGCCACATGATTTTAAAATTAGTTATTCACATAGGATCAAAATAAATATTAAAAGACAATGGAATATGCACCCAAAAATAAGGATTTATTTAAAGCAAAGACTTTAGATCTATGGTCTTTGATTATTATAAGTGCTGAAATGAGTCACAAAAGGCAAAATAAGTTTATAACAAGGGGAAAAAAAAAAAAAAGGCATCTTCAGTTAAAACATATATATATAATCTTTATTTTTTTAAATATTTATTTTCATATACATGTAAATTTCTGTTAAATTTTCTAGAATCAAAAATTTGTTTATTTACATTTAGAACCAAATGCAGATTACAGATATTCATGGATTAAGCATTGGCAGATTATAAGAATTTTACTTGTTTGTTTGTTTGTTGTCATGTCCACAAAGTCAATTAGATGGTACCATGGGCATTGCAGACTGTCTTAGCTATCTCAAGGCAATTTTCTTCATAGAGGTCTTTTGGGGGGTAGTCAAGATGTGGTATCGTTAAAGTTCGATTCCAGAGCAGTTTCTGCAGACAGTGTAGGTTCTTCTTTTGTCTGGAAAGATTTTCATCCCTCTGAACTAGCAGTTTTATATCTTGCCAAGGTTTTGAAAGTAATTCTGTTGGCTTTGAATTTGCATAGTTGAAGTTTCCGCCTGATGGTCAGTTTTCTTAGTTTTCACTTAGCAACAGAATTCATGTTAAGTGAGGTGGGATGATGAGATTTCTTTGTTTAATTGTCTCGCTTTTTTTACCAGGGCATCTGCAGCTTCATTGCGGTCTATGCCAGTGTGACATAGACAGAAAGTGAAGCCCTTCAGCTAAAGTTACTTTGAATTCTTCATATTGGTGCTACCATCATAAATTTAATGGAAAGCTCAATGTTTTGTTTCAGGAAAAGTGTAATGTTGCACTTTACTCACTCTTTCTCATCCCCTTTTTATTAGAGACAAAATAAATAAATAAAAAAATTTAAAAAAAAAAAACAAAAAACAAAAAAAACTGAAAGGTTTCAGATTTTAAATTACGTCCAAAGGGGTGTGTTTTAAACTTTTTGTGTGTTACCTTTATTTATTAAATATCATGTTCTTCGCGCTTAAACTGTAAAATTCAGTTTAATAGCAATGTCACGAAATAATTTTAAAATGAGCATATCTTTAGAATTTCCGATACACAGTTCTGTACCCAAGAGATAAAAAGTTTTTTTTTCTCCGTAGAGGGTTGCCATTGCTTGCTTTTAATCGTTGAGTTTGTTATTCAAAAATTTGTAAAGTTTTACGAAACATAAAATCGATAATAAAATAAATTCTAAATTTCAAATTTGATCTTCCATACGTTACATTATTCAAAATTCGATGGCTCTGTGTACCGTTGTTTTATTACAATGAGAGAAATATACATACATTTATGCAGATTTTTCATTCCTTAATTTCTTCAAATGTAATGCAGTACTCTAACATTTGGTGGCAACAGTTTGAAAAGTGATTCGCCGTGTATAGTGATTCAACGCAAAATTGCAAAACGAAAACAATAGTCCTTCAGGGACAAAGCTCCTTAGGACTAATAAATAAAATCTTCTTTGACACTCACTCTGATGACAGTTTCATTTCAGCAACAAAAGAAGAAATATATCAGTTGCCTATTTTGATGCTTTCTATAGCCAACAGTACTCCCATTGCAGATTATGGATATAAAACTATGTCTC